AGTGATAACGTGAGCACCACAGCAGGAAGTACTCCTCCGTCTCAGGCTGTTAGGGACAACACTGGCAGTACGGAGAGTCCGTCATCTGAAGGCGATATAGATGAGCCGCCAGTCGCGAGTGCCTGACTCGAAGGCGAGTCAGTACAACGTCCACCGAGCAGTTGGGATGGCGAGCCCAAGGGCAGGGGCCATTAAAAGTTCGGACAGAGCCCAACGCCGAAGAAGAGAGGGAGTGTGCAAGGCCCTCTTGCCACTGGTGACGGATTTCCTTCCAGACAGCCCTTGTGAAATCACTATGGCCCAGGGCAAGAGGGGTAACAGTAGGAAGTGTGTGCGCGAGGGAGGCCACCCGATCTGCCACTTCATTTCCCCAAATTCCAACATGGGCGGGAACCCACTGAAGGGAGATGCTCCAATCTGGGCTCCGCAAGAAGCGCAGGAGGAGAGATTGTGTCTGTCGAACAAGAACGCGCAGTGATCGTGGACGGGCAGAGCACAAAAGTGCCAGGGAAGATTGGGAATCAGAGAAGAGGACCAGTGGTTGTGGGGGAATGTGATCTAGGACAAAAGCCAGAGCCTGGTGAATGGCGAAGAGCTCCCCTGCCAGAACAGAATGAGCAGGGTCCAACCGCCACGTTTGACACAGGGAGAGATTAGCGAAGAAGGCCACAGATGATGTAGAAGGGGGGGGAGGACCGTGCCAAGCCATCCGTGTAGACGGTGAATGAAGAGCCATATGTAACAGAGCGAAACTCTTCAAACAGAAATGCAACTAACTGAGGGGGTTCCCTGTTCCTGTAATGCCAATCCAGGTGGATGTATTGTGTCAGGTCCAGCCAGGGGGGTGCCGGAGAGTGGAGAGGGGAGGGAGTCACCACAAGTGCAGGAAGAGTAAGGCAGGTCAGAGAATGCTGGGCCCTGGCTACAAAGGAAGGCTGAACCAAACGTGGGGGGACAGAGGCAGTCTCCCACATCTGTGAAGAGAGGCGACAGAGGTGAGTATAAGGCAGAGAGGCCATATGATGGAGTCGTATACAGTTCCTCGCTGTCCTCACCGACGAGAGAGGGACTATTCCCGACTCTGCCTCCAAGGCTGCGATAGGGGTGGAAGGGAATGCCCCCAGCATATTACGAATGGCTGAATTCTGGAGGATGTCTAAGCGATGAAGAGAGGAGGAAGAAGCCGAGCCATACACCTCACTCGCATAAGTGAGCTTGCTGTGAACCATAGCTATATAGAACTTATGGAGAAGGTCTCAATCCGTACCCCCACTTGGTGCCAGAGATCCGGCGCATAAGTGCAATGCGACATGCACATGAGATGTGGACAGGGCCGGATTACCACATAGGCAAACTAGGCATTTGCCTAGGGCCCCGCGCATTTGGGGGCCCCGCGGTCCAAGGGGTTCAGGGGCTCATCCAAGACTGCGCACATGGTGCAAGTGCAAAGGGGTCTCTACCTAAAAAGTTCAAGTGTTTGGAGAGTAAAATTTCTTTTTAAAAATTAATCAAAACAAAAATAAATAATGAAATAAAATAAAAATAAATAAACCTAACCATAGATGGCAACACTCAACACGCCTTTGTTTACATCAGAACAGCTGTGTTTTCCCGCTAATGGGTGAGTATGGGAGATTCCTCTCCAATTTTCTGTAGTAATTACACGTTATCTAGACTTGTACTGTGACAAATTAACTGAAGAAATGTAAGACAGCGACATCGTCATTCTGGATTCACTGATTACAGAATTGGTGAAAAGAAAAGAAATCTACCAGAATCTCAATGACAAGTTTGGATTTCTGTTCAAAATTACTACTATGCCAGATGCAGAATTGAGAGAAGCTGCATTAAGTTGCAACAACACCTTTCAGCAGATGTTCAGGACACATTTGTTGAAGAAATAGTTCATGTTTCTGGGTATATGAATCAGATTAAAGCTCCACCTGAAAAATGTGCGCCCTCAGCTGCTTTGAAATATTTAAGAAATGCAGGTATCTCAGAAACCTTCCCTAACGTTGACATAGTGTATCGCCTTTACCTAACACTTCCAGCTACTAACTGTGAAGGAGAACGTTCATTTTCTGTTTTGAAAAGAGTGAAAAACCAGCTCCGTTCAACAATGAGCCAAGACAAATTGTGTAACCTAGCCTTGTTGACCATTGAGTCTGATCTAACAAGAAATATTGATTTTCAGAATATAACTGATGATTTTGCCAATATGAAATCCAGAAAAAAATTTATTTAAGAAGTGCCTGTGAATATAAACAATTCTTTACTTTCTTGAGTTTATATGATTTGATAGTCTTATGCATGATGCAATGATAATAATGGTCAGTGATTTATAAAGGGAATAATAGTGCTGTAGTGGTTATGCTGAATATAATAGGTACATGATGTCACTACTTTAATAGCCTAATCTAGTAATACTATGCTGTCTTGAGTTTATTCTCTTTAAAATGCATGATTTAACAAGATAGTTATAATGGCTGTTGGTAAATGGTTTTGGTTGTCTTGATGTACTTTCCCTATTAAATTTAATCTAAATAGCCAGAATGTATTTAATTAGACCTTAAACAGGCTCACACCGACCCCCCCCCCACCCCCACCCCAAGCTGGAAGGGGTCGCTTCGCTTACCCGTAACTCAAAGGGGCCCCGCCAATCTGAATAGCCTAGGGCCCGGAGACTTCTTAATCCGGCCCTGGATGTGGAGGGCCGCTATGTGTTTCTTCCATGTCAAGAATGGTGCACCTAAGGTGACTCCCAACCAACGATGAGAAGAGACCAAAGGGATTGGCGTCTGATTCAATGAGACTGACGGAAGAGTGGGGAGTCGGCGTCTAGTAAAGCATAAGAGCTTGGACTTAGTGTCACTAACCTCCAAACCCCAAGTGGTGGCCCATGATGTTATGCATTGCAGGGCACCCTGAAGTGTTTCCTGTGCTGTCAGTAAAGCTGGGGCATTGCACATAAGGGCCACATCATCCGCATATACCAGGGTATGCACTCCCTGGATGGAAGGGAGATCCGATAATAAGACGGAGAAAAGGAGTGGGCTAAGAACATATCCCTGAGGCACTCCCCGGTATACAGGACAGGGTGAGGACAAAGCGCCACCCACTGCTACACGAAAGGGCCTCCCTTGCAAAAAGTTGCACATCCAGCAGAGGGGAGCTCCTGTCATCCCCATGCGGGCCAACTTGAAAACAATCGCTGTGTGTGATGCAGAGTCAAATGCTCTGTTTAGGTCCAAAAATGCAGCTAAAAGGAACTCCCGACATTCAAATGAAGTGTGCTCAAGCTGTGTAAATTGAAGCAAAGGGTCGAGGGTGGATCGACCTTCTTGGAAGCCACTCTGGTTTTCAGGCAGGAGGCCATGTTCCTCAATCCACCAAGAGAGACGAGTAGCCACCAGTCGTTCCAGCACCTTACCCAAGCAGGGCAGTAGAGCAATGGGCCGGTAAGAGCTCGGTTGGGTATCATCCTTTCCCGGCTTTAGAATCGGAACCAGAAGAGAGTGTTTCCACATATCAGGGAAGACACCTGTATACCAGCTGGTATTGAAAACCTCCAGCATAGCTTCTGTACAGGAGGGAGGTAGATGTAGTATAAATGAATAGGGTAAGTTGTCCTCCCCCAGAGAAGAGCGGGAAGAAAGTTGGGAAAGTGCCCGCTGCAGTTCATGGGAGCTAAAGGGAGATGCCAACACTTGGCAGTGAACCTCGGGTACAGCAGGTGGCAAAGGGCCCCATTTGATCATCTTAGAGGGTAGAGGAGGAGGAGGAGAAAACATAGGACCGAAGAAATTTGCAAATGTCTCAGCCTCGTCCTGGGGTAAGAGTGGGGTCGCTCCTTCCCCCAGCAGGGGAAAAGTACTTACAGAACGTGATCCCAACATGGAGTGGAAGAAACCCCATGCCTGACTGGCAGAGGTACGAAAAGAAAGAGGAGAACAGAATAAAGCCCAGGATGCACATTTCGCCTGGAGGAGGGGTCGCCGACAAAGAGCGTCTGCCCTTCGGTAAGCCAACTGCTGAGTCCGAGAGGGTTGGCACCGCCACCGTGCCCACGCTGTCCAATGCGCCTTCACTGCACGGAGGCACTCATCATTCCATCATGGAACCTGGGGCCGTGAACGGGAGAAGCTCCCGGAGAGACAGAATGAAAGCGAGCCCGCCTCAAGCATGGCCCCTTGCAGAGACGCAACAGCCTCATTCAGCAAGGAGTCCTGAGGCAGGCTGTAATCAGCAAGTGCCCGATTATAGGATGTCCAACCAGCCTGGGTGATTTTCCACCGTGAACGAACTGCCGTCACCGGCACTACTAATTTCCGCAATGGAAGCCGGGTCCGAGGACACCCTAAGTTGATGTTGCCCCAGGGGTGGGGAATCCTCTAAAGGTAAAGAGAGGTCCGCAAGATCCCCAAACCGATTTGTAACAGGGATATTAGCCCTCACAGCTGCGGAGTACAGATGTCCTGGCCGTGTTGGTGTTGGGGAGGCTCCCTTAGTGGGGGGCACTGGAGGCGAAGGAGGCAGGGGCTGACGGACTGTGACTGGCTTTACGGACCGCAAGCAGGAGTTACATTCATCGAGCGTACAAGACCAGGCCCTGGCTGAGTTTGCCAGATCAAGAGCCTGGCGATATGCCGGGCAAGACCAGGAGGTAACCTTGTGGTTCCCCTTACAGAAGTAGCATGAAGCCGGGCGGGTACAGGTAATGCCGTCTTTAACTACTGGGTGAAACCCGCTGCAGTTCGCACATCTTACCTTACTACGGCAAGACAACTCTCCATGCCCGAAAAGGAAACATTTCCGACACCGGAGTAAAGGAAAAGTATAAAGAAGAACAGGAAATCTTAGATTGCCGAAAGTCACAAATTTCGGGAGAGCACCCGAGAAACATACACGAACCACACGAGATGGGGTAAGACGATTCGAGAGGCTCCAAACCTCCCGCAAACCTAAGTCGTCACCCCCAATGTGAACCAATTCAGAGTGGATCTCATCTGAGAGGGATGTAGAAATCGGTCCAGTTCTGCCTTACAACAGCCAGCGGCGAGGATTGAGGAGCGGACCTCCCAGCAAACAACATTCCACCTACCCAGAACATGAATGGCATTTAATGGCAAATTTCTAGACAGAAAAGACTTACGATGGAGCCGGAGCCTTAGGGCTGCACCCCTACCGAGTTATTGGACGCCCCCATCTATGCAAGCCTTGCCGAAAGGAGATCCACTGATGGCGTTGGTGACGTCTCGTGGGTTGGTGAAGGGCGTACCGCCATCCTTAGGACGCACAAGAACCACCATAAGTAAGTAAGTTTATTCAGGTATACACAAATACAGTTACATAGAATTATCATACATAGCAGCATATGTGTAGAGAACCTAGGATAACCCAAAAAAGTCAGACAGAGTGACTTATTTCCATCACGTCTGGAGTAATATGAGGAGAAGGAGCATAGTCTGGACAAGTGGTGGGTTGGCGTTTTGGGCTAGACAGGGGCCTGGCACCGTCGTCAACCTCAAGGGCCCGTTTGTTTATCCCAGTAGGGGGCACACTAGCCATATCTTGGTCCGACGGTATTGAAACAGTTGTCAACTGAGTCGAGACAGGAGGGGAGGTCCCTCACTATGGGGGCGAATCTGCCCGAAATGCCTAGCCATGCTAAGCGTTCTAGTGGTACACTCTGTAATCACTATTTTACAACATGTAAACCACACAATAACCAAATTTCTGTAAAAACAACATTGTAATCCTTATAGAGAATAAACTTTGAATTTGAATTTGAATTTGAATGACATCTCAGTCGAACCCCCCCATAAATGGGTCACACAACACCACCTGAAGAAGACAATGACAACACAAGCACTCAAGAAAAGAAAGACGGTGAAGCAGAGCCTAAATAGGGCCTACACCACCAAGTAACAACTGAGGAACCTTCAGAAGACACGTCCACACTCCACCAATGCCGGCCGAGCTCTCCACCTGAATAAACTTACACCGGGAATTATTATTATTATTATTATAATCAAAAAGAAGCGCTAAGCCACAAGGGCTATACAGCTTACACCGGGAAGCAGGTTCGATACTACATAAGTTGTTAGTCGCCCTTACAAACCCAACAAGAAGAAGTAACATAAATTTAGGTGATTATAGTAATCATGCATTCTTCAACTTGTCGGTTTTGTAAACCATTTACGTAATATCATAATTAGTAACATATGTGTAAATTACCTAGGATAAGCCAGACGAAGTGACTTATTTCTAGAACTGCAGACACATTCATCACCTTAAGAGAAGATAAGATTTCGTTCGGATTTTTAACCCCGGAGGGTTAGCCACCCAGGATAACCCAAGAAAGTCAGTGCGTCATCGAGGACTGTCTAACTTATTTCCATTGGGGTCCTTAATCTTGTCCCCCAGGATGCGACCCACACCAGTCGGCTAACACCCAGGTACCTATTTGCTGCTAGGTGAACAGGACAACAGGTGTAAGGAAACGTGTCGAATGTTTCCACCCGCCGGGAATCGAACCCGGGCCCTCCGTGTGTGAAGCGGGAGCTTTAGCCACCAGGCCACCGGGCCACCTTCAAAACTACCATTAGAAAACATCTTATCTCCCTGATACACCCCGTCAACTAACTACACGAATACCACCTGGTGGTTCACACTTACACTCACTCACCCATTTGACCATAAACAGAAATATTAATCTCAATCTTAAAATAATGAATCCTATGATACTCCAATACTGAAACTATGTACTGTGCCAAAACAAAAGCATTCACATTACTAAACTCACAAACTAGTATTTAGTCACTTAGCCATAATACCAACTTACCTCATAATTTGTAATATTTTAAAATAAAAAATTAAACTAAGTCTGCCCGAAATGCCTAGCCATGCTAGGCGTTCTAGTGGTACACTCTGTAATCATTATTTAACTACATGTAAACCACACAACAACCAAATTCTGTAAATTCAACATTGTAATCTTTATAGAGAATAAACTTTGAATTGAATTGAATTGACTTGGGGGTGATAAGTTGCTCACAGGTGCCACCATAATGCTGGTATCTCGTAGCTATGGCAGAGGTATTTTAAGATAATATTTGTTCGGATTTTTAACCCAGAGGGTTAGGCACTCAGGATTACCCAAGAAAGTCAGTGCGTCATCCAGGACTGTCTGTTTTATTTCCATTGGGATCCTTTAATTAATCTTGTTCTTCAGTATGCAACCTACACCAGCTGACTGACACCCAGGTACCTACTTACTGCTAGGTGAATAGGGACAGCAGGTGTAAGGAAACATGTTCAGTGTGTTTCCACCCATGCCAAGATTGAACCACAGTGTGTATGGCGAGAACATTGCCAAATGAGCCATGGGACACCCTTGATGTCGGTAAAGAGCCCTTGATCCAAATAATGGAACTAACATCCTTGAGCCTGGATGTATCTGATTGCCTTTCATTTCCCTGGCACTATGATCCTTACAGCTTTAGCACTTCTATGAATGTAATAATAATAATAATTATGGTAGAGCCTTATTTAGAGGAGTGTCTTGCTGAAATCAAGAATTTTTTATGTGTTCCATTCTCCAAGAGCTATATAACCCCCACAGGCTTACCAATTTCTCATGAATATACTTAGTCAATAGTAGAGCATTTTGTTTACAACCTAAAGTATCCAGGCTTAACACTGGGCAAGACAAGTCTTGACATGATGACACTCTTCAGGTCGCTTGTTCTATCTAGGCTGGAATATTGCTGCACACTAACAGCACCTTTCAAGGCAGGTGAAATTGCTGACCTAGAAAATGTACAGAGAACCTTCACGGCGCACATAACTGAGATAAAACACCTCAATTACTGGGAGCGCTTGAAGTTCCTGAACCTGTATTCCCTGGAACGCAGGCGGGAGAGAGACATGATTATATACACCTGGAAAATTCTAGAGGGACTAGTACCGAACTTGCACATGAAAATCACTCTCTCCGAAAGCAAAAGACTCGGCAGACGATGCAACATCCCCCCAATGAAAAGCGGGGGTGTCACTAGCACACTAAGAGACAACACAATAAATGTCAGGGGTCCATGACTGTTCAGCTGCCTCCCAACATACATAAGGGGGATTACCAATAGACCCCTGGCTGTCTTCAAGCAGGCACTGGACAAGCACCTAAAGTCGGTACCTGACCAGCCGGGCTGTGGCTCGTACGTTGGATTGCGTACAACCAGCAGTAACAGCCTGGTTGATCAGGCTCTGTTCCACCATGAGGCCTGATCACAGACCGGGCTGCGGGGACGTTGACCCCCGGAACTCTCTCCAGGTAAACTCCAGGTAACATCGTGTCTGGTTTCATTGCACATAAAAGAGTGATACTGCTTGGTTTCTTTTCACTATGTTCTGCCTCAGCAGATAATTTATTGTTCACTCCATGTTTATCCTGTGAGTGGTACTACAAAAGACAGGATTGTGAAGATCAAAATGGGTCTTCCTCTGATGTCATTGGATATTGTTATGACTAGATACTATAGCAGTATCATATATAACAGTCACATTGTTGAGCTAATCATGTTCCCAGTACAATAGAGTATAGCTAGTTTTTAGTAACTGTAGGATGATGCCCGAGTCTCTTTGTCTCCATAGGATAATTCAAGCACATGATAGCTTTTGTTGAAATTTTAAATAAATTTAGAATTATTTGAATCTGGGCTTGATATAAAATGCATTAGTCAGCTATAAGTGGCTTCTTCAAAAGCCAGTAAATTAAGATTATGTTATATTTCATGAAAGATTTTTCATTCATGAATAATTTATTTGGGTTTTTGACCTTTAGTCTGATTAATTCCTTGCTGAACTTAGTCATTACTTTATTTTGCTCATTGCTTTGTTATCAGTGAAAATTCCATTTCCCTTATTCTGTGGCCCAGTAAATCAAATACTGCATTAGATTGCAATATAAGAATGGTATCAAACAATTCAAAGAAATATTGCAAATCTTAAGGAGAAAAAATGGAAGACTGCTTTTTCAGTACAGTGTAGTTTATGACAGAAGTTTCTTAAAACGTTTTAGAACATTATACTGTAACATGACACATTGGGTGGGGATCTTCTCCAGGATACGATACTACGTGCCGCAAACTGCCCTTCTCACACTATACCATTCACTTATATATCCATACCTCACCTATGCTATTTGTGCTTGGGGTTCAACTGCAGCAACACGCCTAAAGCCAATAATAACCCAACAAAAAGCTGCAGTAAGAATAATCACTAAATCCCATCCCTGGCAACACCCCCCCCTCTTCATAGATCTAAACTTACTCCCTGTTCAGAACATCCACACTTACTACTGTGCAATCTATATCTACAGGACCTTAAATTCCAATATTAACCTTGACCTAAAATGCTTTCTTGATAGTTGTGACAAGATCCACAGGCATAACACCAGACACAAACATCTTTATGACATTCCCCGTGTTCGACTAAACCTTTACAAAAATTCAATGTATTTCAAAGGACCTAAAATCTGGAACACCCTACCTGAAAACTCTAGAACTGCAGACACATTCATCACTTTCAAAACTACAGTTAGAAAACATCTTATCTCCCTGATCCACCCCGACAACTAACTACATGATAACCACCTGGTGGTTCACAATTACACTCACTCACCCACTGACTATAAACCCAGAAATACTAATCTTAATCTTAAAATAATAAATCCTAACTAGTCATAAGTTTGCCTATGATACTCCATTATAGGCACTTTGTATTGTGCCAAAACAAAAGCATTCACATTGCTAAACTCACAAATTATGATGTAGTCACTTAGCCTTAATACCATAATCTGTAAGGATTTAATGTTAAGAATTAATCTAAGTCTGCTCGAAATGCCTAGCCATGCTAGGTGTCCTAGTGGCCCCCTCTGTAATTAGTATTTTATAACATGTAAACCACACAATACCCAAAACCTGTAAACCCCACATTGTAACCCTTATAGAGAATAAACTTGAATTGAATTGAATTGTGCATGAAGTACCTTATGGGGCTATGGTACCTTTTCAACTTGCCTGGTTAAAAAAAATTGTTCTTTTATCTTCCAATAAAATTCAACAACAGAACTGCAATATCTTGCTCATGAAACTAAGATTCAGCCATATAGAATTCAAGAGGGAGGGACACAGTATACACAAGAAGATAAGGACACGTCCTACACACTGGTAGACAAAATATTCCATAATCTGGAATTTGAGGTTTTCTGCAGTTTTCTCAAAATAATATTTTTTGAACTAAACCGTTCATATAACAGACATCTATATAAAGGACTTTGGAAATACAGAACAATATTTCCTGGGTGAATCATTTTGAAACACTGGGCACTCTGGCTGTCATAGAATTGTCCATTATTGTTACAGTCACAGCACAAACAATCTCTTCTTTATCCACCACAATTGCCATTACTGGCCACCCGCTTCCCTTCTATTTAGTCCATTATATGGAGTTTACTGTATATAGCTTCACTATTTTTCTATAGGTCAGGATGATGATTGAACATTATTGACAAAATTATCAATTACATGCAATATCAACTAAATAAAATCCTCTTTTTTTTCCAGATGTAGTGTGTTTAGTTAAAAGGATCTTTAAAATTACTCCCAGTATGTTCTTGACTAATATTCTGTTGAAGAAAGTCAAATCCAAGTAAGTTAAAAAAAATAATCATTATTTTACAGGACTGTAAAAACTTATGTTAATTTACTTCTTTTATAAGCAGTAGTATGGTATTATTTTCATGGATTCTCCCAATCCTCTCATGGTTTTCTCAAAATTATTTCATTTACTATAGGATAAATTAATTTATAATTTAAAGTATATTTGGTTCACCTGCAGTGTCTGCATAATCTGTGAGTACTTACTGTGTTACTAGAATATTTTTGTTTAACCCTTTGAGGGTCGACAGGCCCTCTCCGAAACTCGTTCTCAGGGTCGGCCAAATTTAAAAAAAAAAAAATTATTTTCTCTTATGAAAAGATAGAGAATCTTTTCCCGATCATAAAGACACCAAAAGTTTGAAATTTGATAGAAAACTTACGGAATTATGCTCTCGCAAAGTTAGCGGTCTCGGCGATGTTTACGCATCGGCGATTTTGCCCACTTTGAGCCCCATTTTCGGCCAATTTCACTGTACTAGTCGACAAAAAACATGAATATTTCGCTAGAACTCCATTTTTTCTATCGAATGGGTGCAAGAAACCACTCATTTATGAAATCCAGCTATCCAGTACAGTGGTCAGAATTTAGCAATTTTGCCAATTTCACACAAATTTCAAAAGATGCCAATTTCCGAATAGGGTCCAGAATAAACAAGAAAGACATTCCTGGCACTAAAATGACATTTCCTTTAGTCATTAGTCATGTCTCAAGGCCCTTCTTATATTCTTTTGTTTTCCACTTTGAATTTTTATTTTCACAAAAAATATAAGATTTACTGTTATGCAGACTACTGCATTAGTGTAAAAAATGGTATAAATATTATTGGTGCACTTGTGAAAGAATATTAGACTCACCAGTTGACGTGTATTGCACGCTTGGCACGATTTGTTTACTTTTGAAGTTTGGTAAAAATCGAACATTTCTGCTACTTTGAGCTCAATTTCAAGGCACCTTTCTTTGTAAAACCAGTCAAAATCATTTCAATTTCTGTAATATGTCTTCCATTCTATAAAATGAGACCAAGAAAACTAGAATACAACAATAAATACCATACGAAAATACACTGCAAATTCGCTGATTTAATCAAAAAAAATGGTCAAAGTTTTTTTTTTCTCATTATGCACTGTGTGCTGCAGGATTTTTTTTAGACTGTGCACACTGACCACATAGACCCATTCTTTCATATGAAGGCCTACCAGCTTTCTCCCACTAGATTTGAGGCCGCTAGAATTTATGAGTACTAGTACGTCAAAAACCCCTACCCGTAAGACGTACTAGTACGACGAAAACCCTCAAAGGGTTAAATAATGCATTAGAATTGCATCCAGCTTGACAAAAGTATATATATTTCTCCCTGTTCTAAGAAAATGTGCTAGCTTTGAGGTTTTGACCCTTTATAGGGGAATACCAAGATGCTAGTGAAGGGTTCTCGATTCAAGGAATTGGAGCTACATTTCCCTTTCATCAAAATGATTGCTTCCTATTCATTAGGACTTAAATTATTCCTACAGGTTTAGTGCTTCCTCCATTTATATTCTGTGTATCTAATGGTTATAGTCATATCCATAATTTTTTAAGGGGTGGAACAGTAGGCCAGTGGAAGGCCTCAGTAAGATGACCAAAAGCTCCAGCCGTGGGTCATCATATCAGTTAAGACACTTGTCTTAGCCAGTATGGTGGTAAGGTAAGGTAACGTTTGTCCTGTGTCCTGACAAACCTTGCCTAACCTAACCACAGTTATAATAATAATAAATTGTGCTTCTGGGTCTCCACCTCTTTGACAACATTCCATGATAAATTTATTGTACTGAATGTGATATCTACTGATTTCTTCAGTTTCTCTAATTGTTACTTTAACTAACAACACGGACTTGGTTTTCTCCATAACAGTTCATGGGGGATTTCCTTAATGCTGGTGAATGACTCTTGATTTGTGGAATTTAGAGCTATTCTCCCCTTCCTTGGATCAAACCTGATTATGTCCCATTCCCCAGGTGATGCATGATCCCTTTCAGGTTTGACACTTTCCCATAATTATAATAATTTTATTATATTATTGGTATACAATACCAACAAGTAGATGAGTAAGATGCACATGCAGCCGTTGGGTATCTGTATTGTTGAAATGTCATCTCTATTCAACTGAAGAAGCCTGCAGAGTAGGTAAAATGATTTAGTAATAAAATTACACAACTGTTGTACTTTTGTCTTGCTCAGTAATATTAATTTCCCTATAAATTTGCTATCAGGTGAACACAAAAACCATTGGTATCCATCATTTTTTCCCAAGATGATATCTTGTATATGTACATTGAATTTTAAGGACTCGTGTGTTTCTTTTCCTTTACTGTACAGTATGTTTTATCATGAGTTACTGAAAATAATATACATACTTAAGCTAGCAAGAGTTATGCAAATCTACAAAAGTGGAGATCCAACAGAAATCAGCAGCTACAGGTTAATTTCTGACTTTCCATTATTATAAAAAAAAAAAATAGTGCATAAATAATGCCTTCATAACTAAACATAATATTTATAACTCTTAACATCTTAGTTTCAGCTCAGGAAAAAGCACCAATGATGCAATAATAAAAATGTTTGACTCAGTATACTCACAGAAAACAGTGTACACCCTATAAGCCTCTTCATTGATTAAAGAAAAGTTTTTGATATGGTAGACAACAGCATTCCTGCTTAAACTAGAATATGAGATCAGAGGTCATGTTTGCCAGTGCCAGATTTAGGTGGTGGGGGGGCCTGGGGCCCAGTTTGGTGGGGGGGCCCCTTGCATTTAAAAGGTCTAACTCTAATGGTTAGAAGACTTTTAAGTTTCTCCTTGGAAAACTTTCACCACTTTCAATATATGTACCATCCTCTTAAGATGAAGAAATAAAACAAATTGGATTTATGGTGTATTTTAGCATCTTTTCAGTTCATTTGCAAGTGTAACTCAAAAGTAATCTTCAGACTTATGAGGAGTTATCTTCAGTCAGATAAAATATTATAAGCCAGGTACATTCTGTGCTTTTCTGATGGAAAAGTCTCTGATGACTCCATCAAAATCCAGTGAGTGCAGTATGTCAGATTCTATGCTCATGACCATCAGGTTCACAAGCCACCCTTGCTTTGTGCTCGTTCGTAGCCAGTTCTCACTAAGTTTAAGTTTTGAAGAGGAATGTATTTCGTCCTCACTACCACATTGTTGTTCACATACTGACCATGGTCAAGTAGTTATTCATACTGCAGAGCCCTGCACACCCAGGATGATGATGTGCTGAGTCATCCTTGCATCATGCAGCTGATGATGCACTCGCACCAAAGATGTAACACCAGTAATCAGATGACTCAACATGATAGTCCCACCACAATTCAAACTCTTGCATACATTGTCTCTTTTTGCGATCTGTTCAAAAAAAATATGTGTGTCATAATATTTTTCATCATTTGATGAGGGGCCCCTTCTGGTGGGGGCCAGGCCCCAGGTTCCCTCCCCTAAATTCGGCCCTGATGTTTGCATAGATGGTTGCTGGCACGTAAGCAGTTCACCTTGAGTGTGTTAGCTGTAAAGTATATTGGGGTGGTAGCATGCAGGTTACATAGACACATTGTAAACTAGATCATAGTTTATTGGCTAATGGGTCCACCAGGCACACAAGTGAGGTAGCCAGAGCTAAGATCCTTGGGTGAGTCTGATGTTGTCCTAAGGGCAATGGGACAGGGAGTGAGGATGAGTGCTGAGCACAAGGATAGACCTAGGTGCCTGCGCTCTGCAAGGCACTGTCGAAAACAGGCTGTAGGCCAGGAGTTCCTCCCTACCAAGAGGTATGTGAAACAGGTGAGGTAGGCATACTATCTACACTCATGCTTTCACTTACGTAAATAAAGTTCTAATAACAGACACCAACCTGTGATCATTAATTACACAACCTTATCAACTCAACTTGTCAACATAGAGTAGCTGCAGAGCAGGATCCTAGGCCTTCTATTATTACTCATCTACATCAGTGACCTACCTAATACTTCCCAGGAACTTTAATCAGTTCTGTTCACAGATAAGAACTTTTCTGATATCCATATTTGGTTGTCCTCAGCAACTCTTAAAGTTGCTCATAAATATATCTACTGGTTGATCAGGCTCTGATCCACCAGGAGGCCTGGTCACAGACCGGGCCGCGGGGGCGTTGACCCCCGGAACTCTCTCCAGGTAAACTCCAGGTAGGATGACAACCTAGAAAATTAAACTCAGTATTGATAAGACCCACTACATAGTGTTTGGGAATAATGCCAGAGATGTTCAGTTGAAAATAAAGATAAATTATAAACATAAGAGATGATTGGAAAATTCTTAGGTATACACCCTGACAGGAAGCTTCAATTCAACACTGACATATAGCACATAAGTAAGAAAATTTCCAAAGCATTGAGCTTTTTTTTTTTAAATACATAAATATGTACCTCAAATATCATTACTCACACTGTACTTCCTTACTTCTGGTGTATGTGCATGGGTATCTACAATAGCAATTCATGTGAACCCATCATAACTCAACAAAAATCTGCTAAAGTTCCAGACCACACATTCAACATACAAAACATCCACACTTATTACTGTTCACGAGTTAGTTTAAATTTTAGATAATTTTTTCTACTTGTGTATAAATTAACTTACTTTTTCCACACACTTGTTGAGTGAGTAATGTCTTGACAGGAAAATAATGGTTATAATGGAGAGTATTGTGAGTGGCCACACCTTCAATGTTATCAGGCCACGACTTGCAGAGAAGCTGGAGTTCATTGCTTATGATCCCTACAGTAAGTTTTTCACTAGTTTATATTTTCTATAGTTGCAAAGTTGTTTTTGAATGTTGCATTCCATATATTAGTGCCTAAAATATTCTTCTGTGCATTCAGTAAACCAGTTTCAACAATTTAATAATTACGATAGGTATAACCTTTATCCTTATAACACATTTCTGCAATAACATGGCATTTACAGTACAGTGCTTATTCCTAAAATATATGCAAAGTATACTGGGTGCATCCAGTCTATGGCTGTGAAGGAGTGAAGGACTGAACTGTCAGTAAAATTTTGGAGTGGCAATATGGGCAAGCAGCTTCCATCCTCCTCCCACCCGAAATTCCCCTCATCTCACTTTCAGTGCAAAAGAATGTTACATTTACATTATACATGTACAATGTTAAAATTCTCTCATAACGCTTTCTTATGAAATTCATTTATCTTAAGATTTGGGTGGTGCATGTGTCATTGAACCCCCATTTATTTTTATGACTCCCGAAATCGTAATGACACGATTGAAAACAAACCATATCACAGGTGGGGTTAGAACCCACGATCAGAGAGTCTCAAAACTCCAGATCGTCGCGTTAGCCACTGGGCCAACTGGCCCAGTGGCTAAAGGTACGGTCTGGAGTTTTGAGAGACTGATCGTGGGTTTTAACCTCACCCATGGTATGGCTCATTTTTTTTATTTACACAAGGGTTTTACAAGGTTAAGTTAAGAGTTCAAACAGACAAGGCAAGCAATTTTATTTCTATAAAGTGGAGTACAGTGGACCTTTGAGTTATAAACCTACCAATTATCAAACTTTTCAAGTTTCAACCACTTTTTTCAAACCAATTTTGTTCTGAGTATTGAACTCTACCCGTCTGGTGGACAGGTACTGGACCTGTCCACCAGCCCACTCTGTCTGCACCCCTGCGCAGGCGTCGTGAGCAGTCTGGCTTTGTTGATGCTTGAGTGAACACTAACCTGCACACTCATTCAAACATTTCACTAAATTTGACAAATTTTGCACCTACACTAATCCCTGACTCCATTAACCTATATGGGTTTAGTACATTTTTTAATATTATTATTATCAGAGTTGGTACAGCCTCTCCTCACTTAACGACAGAGATAGGGACCTAAGACCCCGTCAGTAAATGAATTTGTCACTAAACGAGGAGCATACTATAATGGTAGTGCATTTGTGTCGGCCATCTTTGATACTGTTTTAATGTCACCTTTATACCATTTATAACATTTCTGTTATATTTTTAAATGTTTATAGAGCCATGTACTGTATATTGTAATAACAGAATTGAGGAAATCAGCTCTAATATACATTATTTAGGTATAAATACTGGTTAGAGAGCCTGTCATAAGTCCAAGGCATCGGTAAACAAGTATGTTGCTAAATGAGGAGAGGCTGTATAAATTCTGCGTTACAGTATGTGGAAAATAGCTAATGGGTCTCCTCTTAATTTTTCAGTTCGGATGGAGAGCGTTTATAGGGAGAAGAAGAAACTCCGAAGTGCATAACATATTTTGTTTCATTTTATTTGAACATTAATTGATTTGGTAAAAAATTAGCAATTGTATATAATGCTTGCTCATTTTTTTTTCCAATAAAATTTGTAGATGTAACTTTCTTTTATTCTATTCCATACCATTAACTTGATTAATCTTGCATTCTTGCCCTAAATACTGTATAGGTAACCTGGATCTGATGTATTCTTAGAGTAAAATCTATATTTGTGTTGCTGAACAGTTTGCACTGAACAGTGCACTTAAGGTATTTAGAATAAGTAGTGAGCACAAAGCATTAAATAGACCCCTCCCCATGAAAGTTGTCTGACCAACAGTTTCTGAATTAACACTGGACCTACTGTTTTATGTAGTAGCACAGTGCATTCAGTTTTTATTTCAGACACCTTTGTTACCTTGACATGTTTACTTTGTCCTTTATCTTTGACAGTTCCATCTTTCTTACAAACCCTTTCTTTGATTTCATAGCTGGTACTATTTTGTTGCATAAAGTGTAGTTCCCTCATCCTTTTAGCTGATGGATGACCTTCCCTCGGTACCACTCTCTCTTTTTTTTACCCTTCCTCATCATCTCTCTTGTTTCCCTATGATGTGTAATATAATACTGAATGACCCTTACATGTACAGTGGACCCCTGTCTTACAATATTAATCCGTTCCTGAGAGCTCGTCGTAAGCCGAAATTATCGTTAGCCGAATTAATTTTCCCCATAAGAAATAATGGAAATCAAATTAATCCGTTCCTGACACCCCAAAGTATGAAAAAAAAAATTACACCTACCATCCGACTTACGACCTGCTCGACTTATGACCACTCGACTTACGACCGTGTTTTTTATGCCAAATTTCTTGGAAATAAACAACTATTTGTGTTGTACACAGTGTTTATCCTAAACCTTACAGTATAAAATACAGTACTAACAACATAAAAAGTAAAGTAAAACATGAAATACCAAAATAAAACAATAAAATAAAGTCATTACAAAAATGTTTTGTTGATATTCAGTAGTAAAGTTCGACTTACGACCATTTCGACTTACGACCAGTTTCTCGGAACCGAACTCGGTCGTAAGTCGGATGGTAGGTGTATTTTACCACATGAAATATTGATTTTAATACACACAAACTGAAGAAGACATGCACAATTACTACTCTACTAAGAATAGAATACATGACACTTACCTTTATTGAAGATCTGGTGATGATTGATGGGATGGGAGGAGGGGAGAGTGTGGAAGTTATTGTTTAGAAGGGGAATCCCCTTCCATTAGGACTTGAGGTAGCAAGTCATTTTCTGGGGTTACTCCCCATCTTCTTTTAATGCCACTAGGACCAGCTTGAGAGTCACTGGACCTCTGTCACACAACAAATCTGTCCATAGAGCTCTGTACCTCCCGTTCCTTTAAGACTTTCCTAAAATGGGCCATAACATTGTCATTGTACAGGTTGCCAACACGGCTTGCAGTAGCTGTGTCAGGGTGATTTTCATCCGTAAAGGTTTGCAGTTCAGCCCACTTTGCACACATTTCCTTAATCTCTTTTTTCAATTCCATACTAATTCTCGCCCTTTTTACCACAGGGATGGCACTAGAAGCTTTCTTGGGGTCCATGGTGACTTATTTTGCAGTTACAAGCACTAAAAACACTGGGATAATGTGAAATGTACCGAATGTATGCGTAGATGCGACCTCAGTGGCTGGCTTGTAAACACTGGTGCTGAGGCCACACATGGGACTCGTCCTGGACGAATCACGTAAGGCGAGTTTTTTATCGTGAGGCAAGGCAAAATTTTTACATTCAAATGCTTTGTATGGCGGATTTAACGTAACGCGATGCATTTGTAAGGCGGGGGTCCACTGTATTGCTTGCTTTTTATTTTTATTAAGCAGCTACTGATTTTTTTTCCAGAGTGCAAATTCATTATTAGAATTTCTAAAAGCCAGTTTGAATATACATTACAGTACTGGGCAATACAGCGGAACCTCGGTTGTCAATTGCATTACTTGTCAAACAGATCAGTTTTTGAATGAGGAATTCAAAAAAAAATGTCCTGGTTTTCGTATGTGCTCTGGTTGTCGATGGACAATGTGAACGGGACAGAACAGCTCAGTTCACGTGCTCACAGAATGCACACTGGACAATTCAAATTCAAATTCAATTCAAAGTTTATTCTCTATAAGGATTACAATGCTGAGTTTACAGAATTTGGTTATTGTGTGGTTTACATGTAGTAAAATAATAATTACAGAGTGTACCACTAGAACACCTAGCATGGCTAGGCATTTCGGGCAGACTTAGATTAAATCTTAGGTTTAAAATATTACAAAATTATGAGGTAAGTTGGTATTATGGCTAAGTGACTAAATACTAGTTTGTGAGTTTAGCAATGTGAATGCTTTTGTTTTGTCACTATACATAGTTTCAGTATTGGAGTATCACAGGCCAACTTATGACTAGTTAAGATTCATTATTTTGAGATTGAGATTGATATTTCTGTTTATGGTCAAATGGGTGAATGAGTGTAAGTGTTAACCACCAGGTGGTATTCGTGTAATTAGTTGACAGGGTGTATCAGGGAGATAAGATGTTTTCTGATGGTAGTTTTGAAGGTGATGAATGTGTCTGCAGTTTTAGAATTTTCAGGTAGGGTGTTCCAGATTTTAGGGCCTTTGACATACATTGAATTTTTGTAAAGGTTTAGTCGGACACGGGGAATGTCATAGAGATGTTTGTGTCTGGTGTTGTACCTGTGGGTTCTGTCACAACTATCAAGAAAGCGTTTTACGTCAAGGTTAATATTGGAATTTAAGGTCCTGTAGATGTAGATTGCATAGTAGTAAGTGTGGATGTACTGAACAGGGAGTAAGTTTAGATCTATGAAGAGTGGGGGTTGTGTTGCCAGGGATGGGATTTAGTGATTATTCTTACTGCGGCTTTTTGTTGGGTTATTATTGGCTTTAGGTGTATTGCTGCAGTTGAACCCCAAGCACAGATAGCATAGGTGAGGTATGGATATGTAAGTGAATGGTATAGTGTGAGAAGGGCAGTTTGCGGCACGTAGTATCGTATCTTGGAGAGGATCCCTACCGTTTTGGATACTTTTTTGGTTATGTGTTGGATAAAGGTGCTGAAGTTCAGGTTGTTGTCGAGGTATAGGCCTAGGAATTTGCCCTCATTATGCCTGGCAATTAGAGTGTTGTCGATTTTAATGTTGACAGCTTGAGTCTGAGTCAGTATAGCCACTAACTCGCATAAGTAAACATCTCTTGAGCTTTTGTTGTGCATCTTGTGAACTTTTTTGTTACTTTGTGGTGCAATTTTTTTTTTTTTTTTTTTTTTTTTTTTTTTTTTTTTTTTTAGATAAGCCATCATGAGTCCAAAGAAGGATAAAGAGATGAAAGCAAAAAGAAAAGTTGTAAAAGCACTGTCGAGTTTAAAAAAGAAGTTACATATTAGAAAGTATGAAGAAGATAGCTGTGTGTGGTTAATATTGCAAAACTTATGGTAAATCAGTGATTCCCATTAGCACAGTACTGGGCCAAAGGGGAAAAATTAAAGCAGCAGACCTTGCAAAAGGTGCAAAAGTGATATTAATGCAAAGGCCACAAATTATTGAGAAGATTGAAAAACTCCTGTTGATTTGGATAAATGAAAAGCAGTTACACTGTAATAGTGTTTCAGAGGCCATTATTTGTGAAAAAGCAAGGCAATTGCATGATGACCTCCTGGAAAAAAAAAATCCAGAACAAGTGCTGAAACTCAATCCTTCAAGGGCAGTTGGGGTTGGTTTGATCATTTTAAGAAAAGAAGTAGCATTTCTAGTGTAGCTAGGCATAGGGATGTTGCCAGGACTGACCAAGTGGTTATTGAAAAGTATGTTACTGAATTCCAAGAGTACATAGAAGCTGAGGGGTTTGTCCCCCAACAAGTGTTTAATTGTGATGAGACAGGCCTCTTCTGGAAGAATATGCCCAAGAGGACCTACATAACTGAAAAGGAAAAGTCAGTGCCATGACACAAGCCAATGAAAGACAGGCTTATTCTGTTATTGTGTGGTGATGCAAGTGGGGACTTGAAATTGAAGCCCTTACTTATTTATCATTCCAAAAATCCAGAAGTTTTTAAGAACAATGTTATGAAAAACAAATTGGTTGTAATGTGGAGGGCCAACACAAAAGCTTGGGTAACAAGACAATTTTTTATTGAGTGGATTCATGAGATCTTTGAGAGTAAGACACATGTGCAACATCTGGGTATCTTTATTGTAGACGTTTTGCCATCCAGTGGCTTTATCAATACAAATTCTAGGACATAACTTGAAGACAGTAGAACTATGTACAGAAGATGAGGTAATCAGTCCCTCAACCTAGGAGTAGGTGCGAACAGCACCATAGTCGTGGAGATCTTTGCTCCCACTGTCAAAAAGTATCTCATGAAAAAGAATTGCCACCCAGCGCCCTTTTACTTATGGATAATGCTCCTGCTCACCCTCCAAGTTTGGAAATGAGTTGCTGGAGGAGTTCAGTTTTATATCTTTGAAGTTCTTGCCTCCTAACACCACTACTCTCATCCAGCCCATGGACCAGCAGGTCATTTCTAACTTCAAGAAACTCTACATCAAAGCACTTTTTGAAAGGTGTTTTGAAGTCACTTGAGAAACAAATTTAACCCTTCTGGAAGGATCATTTTGATATCCTCATCTGCTTGAGGCTTATAGACAAAGTCTGGGGGAATGTGTCTTCCAGGGCCATACAGCCAGCATGGAAGAAATTGTGTCCGGACTTTGTGGCAGCCAGGGATCTTGAAGGCTTTGAAGATGAGCATGAGCCAGTAGAGGATACTGTGTCCCTGGGAAAGACCTTGGGCCTAGAGGTGACTGAATATGATGTGGAGGAGTTGGTGGAGCAGCATATAACTGAACTCACCACAAAAGAACTTCTAGACCTTCAGAAGGAACTGCAGCAGATTGCAGCAGAGGAGCTGTCATCAGAGGAAGAGGAGGGAAGGGATGATGTGCCCATTGTATTGTGCCAAAACAAAAGCATTCACATTGCTAAACTCACGAATTATGATGTAGTCACTTAGCCTTAATACTATAAT